ACCTGGCGCAAAGTAAGTCTTTACGTTCTGACAACAGAAAAACAGTCGAAAGAACAAAGAACACGATCAAAATGTATTAAATGCATAGTTGCTTGTTATATTAGTTATTGCAAACAAATGTTTGAATCATCTATTTTTTTATTCTTTAACTGTTTTCTTTACTCCAACGAAACTTTAAAACTTGTTCCCAGAACTGAAGCGTAGCTTTATGAGGTGTACCGCGAGTACTTCATTCATTCATTCATTCATTCATTCATTCATTCATTCATTCATTCATTCATTCATTCATTCATTCATCATTCATTCATTCATTCATCATTCATTCAAATTTATCAATATATTTTTCGAATATATTTGCGCGCGCGCGTTTTGTATTTGAAATCGGTTCTTGTCCGTGGGCCGTTGGTGTGCACAAAGCGATAGGCAGGCACAGCAGAGTGCACCGCGCAGCCTGAGGGCGAAGTCAGCTGACTGCCGTGCCCCGCCCCGCCCCACCACCGTGCAACGCCACGCCGCGCCGCGCCAGCGCGCACGAGCCAACGCAACGGTTTTCCTTTATCAGCAGCTCGGGCTCCTCCGCCTTCCCGACGACGTCGCCGTTTACCTTTTTAAAAATACCCCCGGATTGTTGATAAAGTGGGGACGGGGGAGGAGGGAGGGTGGTTCCTTGAGGAGGAGGCTGGCTGCACCATGGGCTGCACCCTCCCCCTCCGCCGCCGCGCCGCCCTCGCTCCGGCCGCCCCGCCGGCGTACAGTCCGGGCGGCAAAGGGGCGGCCCCGCACGTGGATGGCGACGGGCGGCCGAGGCTGTGGCGTCCCCGGACTGGGGCGGACTGTACGATAGATAATGGATGGTTCTCGCAGGGGTCACGCCGCCACACACTCGGGTCGGCGCGCTCGTGCCATGCCCGCCCGGGCCGCCTTTAGGGCCCCGGCCCAGGCTCAGCTGTAGTCAAACAAAGCAGCGTCTTGGGTCATACTGGGCCGGGGCGACGGCTGGGAGCGCGAGGGAGGCGGGGGGGGGGGGGGGGGCGATCCGTCACAGAGGGTGGTGTGTGCGTGTGTGTGCGTCAGCGTCGGCAAACGACTTTTCGTCGACCGCAAAAGGTTGACTCCCTGCCCAAAAATCGTGAAATACTTTTTGATTTAACGGAAAATACCTAGAAAGACTGGGGGTGTTCTGTGTTCTGCGTCGTTGATGCAATATGTAAGTCAAATCAGACCACCAAAAGTCTGGGTTTGTTCCAGAAAGTCGGTCAGGAGTAACTGTAGAGCGAGAATACACAGAGGCAGTTAGCGAGTGAGAAAGAAAATATGGACGAGGCAGCTATAGAGCGAGAGTTGCAGTGGGAGCCTTTTTTGATCCCGCGAGTGAAAGTGTTGACAGTGGAGATTTCAACCGGCCAGAGGGGGTGGGGCTGGCTGGGGTTGCGCGCACCCCACCCCTCGGCGCAGCATCCCCGCTACACCTGGCCTCTCCTCAAGCCTCTCTCTCTCTCTCTCTCTCTCTCTCTCTCTCTCTCTCGTCTCCAGCATTCATACATGACCCCTCTCTTCTTACCGTTACATAACGCGCAGAGAGGACAACTGATGAAAAGAAAAGTAACTTAGTCGTACAGTATAGCAACATTGTTGCTGCTGACGACAAAGGCGGCGTTACGATTCGGTTTGTTTCTCCCAAATACACCTCAGCGCCGGTGAGTCGCATGCGGTCGCATGTGTTTGGCGTGAGAGTGAGTGAAGTGTTAAGTGATGCGGCGCGCGGGCGGCGGCGGACTGTCACCTTATTTATTCATGATTCTAAAAGCGGCGGCTGCGGCTGGCGCAATCCGGCTGCTGCCGGCCCGGTGGCTAGGTGTATGCAAAGCGCGGCGGGGCGGGCAGAGAGGGAGAGAGATAGATAGGGAGAGAGAGAGAGAGGGGGGGGG